TGGCCAGAATGTTTTGTCTATTCTTTAAAAAAGTAGTATCAAATTGTATCCCAAATTGTAAACTAACTGTTATATGGTAGGCCTTTTTAGAGGAGACTCCAGAAGCTACATTGTCTAACATGTTTAGGGTTAAATAAGTGAATGAATATTTTCCATGGTGTGGAAAACTTCTGTACCTAGCATTTTTAAATAAAGTTGGGAAATGTGACCTTAATTGGCATATGCAATCCAATTGTGGGACCACAGAACCATGACAGTGCCCCTTCATCCAGAGCAGGTAAGGAATTACTGGGCTATTTAGGATCTGTGCCAACAGGAGGGTCCCTATGAAAGAGATCAGAGATCCCCCTTAGACCCTCAGAGAGTTAACTTAAGAAGTAGCCTAAAATTGATCAGAGCAGACAAATGCAACTCTTAACAACAACAAATAAGACCAGGATAGTTTCCCAGACAGGAACACTGGACAAAATCTAACTGACATAGTTAAGGAACGATTTTATCAATCAGAAAGGGTTCGGTTGCTCATTCCAGGAATTAGGGAAATTGGAGACTGGTGGCAGTGAGCGGGTATGCCTGGCTTTGCTGAAAGATGTGGACATGGCGGGGGCGGGGTGTAGGGCAGGAAGAAGCTGTAGTAGTTAAACATTCAGCTTTACTTGTTCTGATTCTGATTCCAAAGATGCTGCTGCTCATCTGGCTTCCCCAGAAGCTGGCCTTCAAGGAGAGAAGACTGTCAGGCTTGTATAATTGCTGTGTTGGCAGTCATTGTGCTCACGATAAATTGGTAAATTGGCATCTAAAATATAACAGAGTCTTATTAGACCTAGTAGACTAACTTAGCCACCTAAATCCAATAAACTAGGCACTGATGAAAATGAGTTTACATCCAGATCCTATCCCATCCTTTAAAAACCAAGTTGAATGTAATCTTGGCTCTGCCCTCCGAAGGGTAATGAAAGTTCAATCCAACGCCTGGCTGGCTGGCACAGAATAAATAATCATTGAAAGGAAATATTAAAACTGTCATTATTAATCTTTCTTATGGCATTTATTTATTTTTTCAGCTAATTTTGATTGAAGTTTTAAATTCATGCCAGGCCCTAGGCAAGTGATGAGAATTCCTTCCTTGTATATGTTATCAGTATATCACTAGGTATAAATATTCACGTCTCATTCTTTTACTAAAATGTAAGATTCTTAGGTGCAAGTCCCATGTCCCATAGCTCACCTGTGGGGCCACTTACATGGTATGTTTCACTTTCTGCCTTGTCGTACTAAAATATCTGTGTATGTTTGATCTCTCTGTAAGAGTGGCAGATGCCTTAAGAATTCTTTACAACTGTATCATAATAGTTTACATATTAGTCCTTTTAAAAGATATTTTTTGAGTAAATGAATGTTTTTTGTAAAAAATATTCTCTCCCTACATGCATTGATTGGTCCATTTCAGAAATGACTAAAAACTACAACTGATTACTATAGTATAAACAAGGTGATTTCTATGTGAAAATATTTTGTGATAGTACATTATGTTTACACATATTTACTTAAAATTTCACTACTTCTTTCATTTTAAACATACACTACCTGGTAAGATTTCAAACTGCCCAAGAAGCTGTGGGGAAGCCATCATTTTATTTTCAATGAGATAGTAACGTGATGATAAGATGGTTGGAAAGTAAGACCTATGTCAGTTGGTTAAATAAAAGTATAGCAATTGGAGAAAAGAAAACTGAAAGGCAGTTTAAGAATCATCTGATGTTTTTTAAAAAATCAGGCAGAAAGGACCTTAGCGGGCCTGGAAGCCAGCCTGCATCCTCATTTTGCTGAAGACAGAAGGCTTTCCCGATGACACAGGGTTCAGCAGTGCCCAGAGCACAAACCTCCCACCCCTGGGCCTAGGCCTGGCCCTCTCCAAGGTACTGCCTTCTACAGGGAAGGTTTTCTGCAAGCTTGCACAGAAGGAATTCAGGGAATGTTGAATCCACCTTCTTACGCTACCCTTGGAAACACAAATGACCTTTGCCTATTTAATGTATTGGCTTTAAGACCCTTTCAAAGATAAAGTGCATTTTGTGCAAGTCTGACCACCCCACAGGCAATAACAATGAAAAGAAAAGAAAACTAGCACATTGGATAGTGTTCTTGGCTTGACTACTTACCCACTGCTTGTTACCGACAGTAACTGATTTCTTTTACTGAATAATAATAGATGTGTGACTGGAGGGCAGGAGTGTGGTGAGTTATTTACATAGACCCCCTTTGTTGTTCTGGCTGAGTAAATGCAAACTCCAGAGTGCTAATCTGTGGACTTCTTAGGGGAGTGATTCTGATGGAATCATCATTTGTACCTCTGACAGGTACAATGAGTTCAGGTTAGCTGTCAGATAAGTAACAGAGCAGCCTAACCACCTGGGGGCTGCTGCATTCCTCACCTGCCTAGGAGAAGTGAAAAAGGTCAATAAAGGTCATTCCTTCAGAAACCTCAAGGCAAATTGAGGGCAAAGTAGCCAATCCCATCCCTTATGAGGAGATGCTTCTTACAGTCAGCCAGAGCCAGAGGCTGTTCTGTCTAGAGCCAGAGAAATGCCCTTAAAGATAAAAGGTTTGATCCCCAGAGATACGTGAACAGCAAACATGAATCACTGTAATGATTCCATTACTTCTACCGTTTGAAACAAGGGGAAGGAATCAACATCCAGAACCAGGAAGGGCTGCTTTCCTTGAGCAGGGAATGCATCCAGAGCATTGGTTCTCACCCCTGGCTGTGCATTGGAGTCACCTGGAGAGTTTTCAGAAATATAGATGCTTGGGTCCCACTCCACGCTTCTCTGATTTAATTGGTCTGAAGGTGGCCTGGGCCTTAGGCCAGGCATGAGTTAATCACAGATTTAGATGCTGACATATTTGAGGATTGGTGGTGCTTGCTTTCTGCTGACTAATGAACGCAATAGTCCAGCCCAGTCATTTTCCAAAGGTGGTGTCAGTGTTAGCCATAAGCATTTCCTGGGAACTTGTTAAAATACAAATTCTCAGGCCCCACCCCAGATCTATGGATTCAGAATTTCTGGGGTTGGAGATCAGCAGTCTGTATTTTTCATAAGCCCTCCAGGTCATTTTAATTCATGTCAAAGTTTGAGAGCCACCTTTTAAAGTCCAGACTTTGCTACTCAGGTGAGGTCCACAGACTGGCAGCATCTGCATCCCCTGGATCTGTCAGGTAGGTAGGGCACTGACTCAAAGAAGCATTTGGTAGTAGATATAGGGGATGTGGTAGAGTAAGAGCAGCTACTGTTTATCATATAGTTACTTTGTGCTTTATAGGTATAATTGTATGTCATCCCTATAGAAGACCAGAGAGAGATCATCCATCCATCCTTCCATCCATCCATCCATCCATCCATCCATCCATCCATCCATCCATCCATCCGTTCAACTAATGCTGTATTCTATAAGCAGACATACCAGACACAGTTCTAGGCATATCCCTGTAATCTAGGGATATAGCCACCCCTGCCGTTATGAGGCTAAGGCCAGATCAAACAACAAACAGTAAACTGGTTTATAATAAAATCATAGGTAAATATAAGTGCTCTGAAAAAGAAAGCAGGACGAGGCAAGGGGTAAGTGTGACAAGAAGTGCTACTTGAGAAAGGGTGGTGAAAGAAGAAAACCCCTCTGAGCAGGTGACATTTGAGCCAAGACATGGATGAAGCTAAGGCACGAGCCACTCAGCTCTTCGAGGGAAGAACATCAAGGAGGACACGGGACACCAGGAGGACACCGTGAGGGAGGGGGACAGCGGTTAGAGATAAGTTTTGAAGAGAGCTGCACGCCAGGTCCTACATTGTCTCACAAACCATGGTAAATCTTAGCAGACAAGGAAACTGGGCAGGACGCCTCAAACTTGAATGTGCCCACAAATCACCCAAGACCGGATTAAACTAGTGAGGAGTCAGTGAGCCCGGGGTGAGACCTGAGTCTCTGTATTTCCAGCAAGCTCCCAAGGGATGTTTATGCTTCTGGTCTGTGGGCCACCCTTAGGGTAAACAAAAGGGTATCGAGGTTGAGAACTGAAGCAGCATGCACAATGTCACACAGCTGGTAAGTCGCAGAGGCAAGATGTGAATCCCAGATGCCTGACACCAGAGTCCCTGCTGTCCACCAGTTGCTGCCCAGTAACCTCCTTCCTGATTCACCTGTAACTGCTTACGTGCAGGAAATTGAAAAGACCTGCCCGAGAGAGGCCCTTGTGTGCACTCTGTTTGTAGAAGAGCTGTTTATTCCTTATTTTGAAGAAGTGAATGCCTGGGTAACTATTCATACTTTGTGCTTGTGAAGTATTTAAAAGGTGTAAGATATGCCCGGCATCTTAAAGACAAGTGATGTGGCTGGTGATCATCTTGGTGTAATAGATAAATAAAAAACACCAGAATACCCATGGGCCTCAACATCTAATGCATCATATTTGCTGTAACTGGCCCAAGGAAGCCAGTTACTCGCTAGGCCCTGCAGTCGCGCTCCTTCTGGCCCGACCTCCCCAGATGCTCCCACTCTGCCCCACTTGCACTTGGCTCTGTTCACTGCATGGGGGGTGCCCCGTACTCCCAGGTGTGGATGGGCTCTGGGGTGTCAGAGATACTTGAAGCTGGTTACATGCTCAAGTCAATCAGGCTTCAGTAAAAAAACAAACAAACAAAACAAGAAAGGGTGTGTGTGTGTGTGTAGTTTAAATATTCAGCTCTGAGCTTCCTTCCATGAAAACAACCGTAACTTCCAGAATCAAACAGATGTTCAAAGACTTCTTGCTGTCTCTTGTCACTTGATATTTGCAGGGTCTTCCTTGCACCGGGGGTGGGAGGGGAGGGGTGAAGTGGGAGATGTTCTGTGTGTGTGTTGTAGATGCCGTTGCCCTGATGAATGACATGGTTTGGTTCGGTTTGTTCCCCTCCACTTTTGTTAATTCTCTGTGTTCTTTTTCCTTTGTGCTGCACGATTAGGACCCTGCAGTGGGACACAGACCCCTCAGTGCTCCAGCTGCAGTCAGACTCAGAACTTGGGTATATGTCTGCTCTTTTGTTACTCCTTTTATTATTTCTTTGCTACGGTTGTGTTGAAATGCTGGAGCTGTTGTTGCTCTTATTTCCCCCCCTTTTGTTGAACTTCCAGTTTGATATGTTTATTTCCTTCTGTTAGTTTGACGTATAAAGTTAAGCTTCGGAGAAAGTCTCTCTTTGTGGAAGACACCACAAAAAGATGGCTTTTGGTCTCCCCTTCTTAATTCCTATTATTGCAAAACAACACTTCTCCCCCGAAAAAATACAAACACACAACCATGCCTTTGTTTCCAGGTAGGGGCGCACACGCTCTGCAGTGGGAAATCCGTTTGAGTTTATCCTAATCATCCTCCCCCTTTACTAACAAGTTGCCTCCGGTTAATTTTTGTTAAAATCAGTATTAAAATGCTGTGTTTTGTTTGTTTCTTTTTCTTTTCACTTTTTGGACACTTACAATGAGCATTTAATTTGAATTGAGTTTGGACATAGAAAGGGTACTATTAAAGAAAAGCTACTTTGTTGACTTCCTCAATATTAAGGAATCTCAAATTCTTGATGATGGGTAATGTCTTCTACATTCTAAAGGTTGTATTTTTTCTGGTGGAAGTATATTGTCACAAGTTAAAAGATAGCTTCAGAATTGAAAATGTGGTTTATCTGTACAACGAATATTATTTAGCCATAAAAAATGAAATCTTGCCATTTGCAACCACATGGATGGACCTTGAGGACATTATGCTAAGTGAAATAAGTCATACAGAAAAAGATAAATACCATGTGATCTCACTTATAAGTGGAATCTAAAAAAACAAAAACAAATCCCCAAAACCAAAAACTAAAAGCTCAGCTCTGGGATATAAAGAATAGATTGGTCATTGCCTAAGGCAAAAGGTTGGGGGTTACTAAAATGGGTGAAGGGTTCAAAAGGTACAAATTTCCAGTTATAAAGTGAGTAAGTCACAGGGATGCAATGTGCAGCATGCTTGTAGTTAATAATACGGTATTGCATATTTAAAAGTCTCTAGGAGAGTGGATCTTGAAAGCTCTTATCACACAAAAAAAGTTGTAAGTAGGTTTAGTGATGGATATTAAGAGTTTGGAAGGAGCATTCAGAATATTTGAGAGAGGAGATAATTTTAGCCATGTTACAATTTGAAATACTGGTTTAATGAAAAGTTTCCCCCTTTGATAGTTCTTATGTGCAGAGCACTCTTGCTCTCACACAAAATTTTATGAAATTTACCTCAGGCAACACGATTTTTCTAGAGACAATTTTATTTCCTCTTCTTAATCCCTGCCATGGAATTGGCCATGGAATTGGAATTTTGTTTAAAAGATAGTTTTTGAAGTATAATTGACATAAGAAAGTGCGCACATTGAAAGTACTCAAGTAGGTAAGTTTTAATGTGAACATACAACCATGAAACTATCACCACCATCATGATAATGAACATATTCATCATCCCCCAAAGTTGCCCATGCCCGGTTATAATCCTCACTCCTGCTTCTCCCCATCCCCTCAATAGCTGATCTGCTTCCTGTGATCACTATGTATTAGTTTACATATGTAAAATATCATAGAAATGAAATCATGCAATAATTTTTTACTGCTTTCACTTGGAATAATTTCAAGATTCACTGTGTATCAATAGGTCATTTCTTTCCTTGTATGGATATACCACAGTGTGTTTACCCAATCACTTTTTGATGTGCGATTGGGTTGTTTCCAGTTTTTGCCTATTAAAAAATAAAACTTTTTATGGACATACGCTTTTATTTTCGGAGGGTATGTGTGTTTGTGTGTGTAAATAATACCAATTAGAATGGCTGAATTTTATAGTGGATGTACATTTAACTTACGATACTGTCAAACTCTCTTCACGATTATACGTTCTCACCAGCAGTGTATGAGAGCCTAATTTTGGACTTAAAAACATTTTTTAAAACCACTATTAAAAGAGTGTAGTGGTATCTTCATTATAGTTTTGATTTGCATTTACCTAGTGACTACTGTTTAATATCTATGTATGTGTGCATGTCCCATTTGAATATTTTCTCTGATGAAATGTCTACTTAAATCTTTTGCCCTTATTTTTTTTTATTTGGTTGTTTGCTTCTCATTACTGGAGTTTTGAGAGTTCTTTATATATTTGGTATACAATCCTTTATTTGATATATAACTTGTAAATATTTTCTCCCAGTCTGCGACTTATCTTTTTTATTCTTTCAACAGCCTTTAAGACACTTTTTAATTTTGACATTCCAATTTACGNTAACTTGTAAATATTTTCTCCCAGTCTGCGACTTATCTTTTTTATTCTTTCAACAGCCTTTAAGACACTTTTTAATTTTGACAAATTCCAATTTACAAATTTGTTCTTTTATGAACTTTGGTTTTGTTGACATAATTTCAGTGTTCAATGATTCCTTCAATATTTGGTAGGGTACAATTTATCTGTGAAACCATTTAGATTTCAAATTTTATTGTAAGGAAGATTTAAAAATACAAATCCAATAACTGTAACAGTAATGGAGCTATTGCAGGTATCTATATTTTTCTGAGTGAGCTTTGGTAGTTTGTGTTTTTCAAGTAATATGTCCATTTCTCCATTTGCAAATTTATTGGCCTAAAATTGTGTTTGTAATCCCTTATCATCTTTTAAATATCTCCAGAATCTTTAGTTCTTTTCTTCTGCTTACTTTGTGTTTAATTTGCTTTTTTCTAGTTTCATGAAGTGGAAGCAGGGGTCAATAACTTGAGACCTTTCTTCATTTCTAATATATGTGTGTAGTATTGTAAAATTCCCCCTAAGTACTGCTTAGTGGCTTAGTACTTGAAAATTTTGATTTTCTTGGTCCTTTTCATTCAAGTCAAAATACTTTCTAACTTCCCTTTTTTATTTTACCTTTAACTTATAAGTTATTTGGAAGTGTGCTGGTTTCCAAATATTTGGGGATTTTCCAGAGGTCTTTTTGTTATTGATTTCTAATTTAATGCTATTGTGGTTAGAGAACACACTTTGTATTATTTGTATCCTACTACATTTATTGAGACATATTTTATGGTCCGTAGTATGATCTGTCTTAGTGAATGTCCTATGTGCCCTTGAAAAGATACNTTTGTATTATTTGTATCCTACTACATTTATTGAGACATATTTTATGGTCCATAGTATGATCTGTCTTAGTGAATGTCCTATGTGCCCTTGAAAAGATACATATTTTGCTGTTATTGGGTGAAATGTTCTATAAATGTCAATTAGGTTAAGGTGGTTGATTGTGTTCAAATATTCAATATTCTGTACTGACTTTCTTCTGATTTTATCAATGATTGGGAGAGACGTGTTGAAGTTTTAAACTATAATTTTGGTTCTGCTATTTGCAATTCTATCAGTTTTTGCTTCATTAATTTTTAAATTTTGTTATTAGATGAATAAATGTTTAGGATTCTTATGTGTCTCTTGATGACTTGATTCCTTTATCATTATGAAATGATCTTCTTTATCCCTGGAACTATATTTTGCTCTTAAATCTCCTGTGTCTGATATGAACATAGCCACTCCACTGTTCTTTCGGCTGGTGTTTAGCACAATATATCTTTTTCCATCCTTATACTTTTTAACCTATTTGTTATTTTATACTTAAAGTGCTTTTCTTGTAGGCAGCATATAATTGGTCCTTTAACATTTTCAAAAGCAAAGGTATAATAAAAATTTTTAAGACACAAAAAGATCTTCATTATAAGAAACACAGAAGGAAAGCCACCAGGCAGAAATCTTTTTCTTTCATTATTTCAACATTAAAAATGTTGCTTCATTGTCTTCTCACTTGCATTGTTTATGACCATAAATCTGCTGTCATTCTTGTCTTTGTTCCTCTATATGTAACATCTTTTTAATTTATTTCTATTTTTGGCTACCTTTACAGTGTTCTCTTTTTCACTGATTTTGAGCAATTTAATTATCATGTGCTTGGTGTAGTCTTCTTCATGCTTCCTGTGCTAACAAATTTGGAAAATTTTGACCATTAATTTTTCAAATATCTTTTTCCTGTATCCTCTTCTTCTCTGGGGATTAAAATCACATGCATATTAGGCAAGTTGCTTCATTTATTTATTTTTCTTTTCTATCTGTGTTTTATTTTGGATAGTTTCTATTGATATGTTTTGTATTCACTAGCCTTTTGTTTTGTAGTAGTATTTAATTTCATGAAGCCTAATATTTCATTAATTTTTTAATCCCTACCCAAGGATATGTAGAGAGAGAGAAAGAAAAACATCAATGTGAGAGAGAAACAGTTGCCTCCTGTACATGCACCAACCAGAGTTCAAACCTGCAGCCTAGGTATGTACCCTGACCAGGAACTGAACCTACAGTCCTTTGATGTACAGGATGATGCTCCAGCCAACTGAGTCACCTGGCCAGTGTGTACATTTTTAATTTTATCCATTTTAATTTTCATCTGTAGAAGTTTAGTTAGGATCCTTTTATCTTCCATATTCTACTTAATTTTTGGAACACAGGAAATACTGTTTTAATAACTTTAAAAAAAAATTCCTCACCTGATGATATTTCTATGGATTTTAGAGAGAGGGAGAGAGAGCAGGGAGAGAGAAAAAGAGAGAGAGAGAAACATCTATCAGTTGCCTTGCATGCACCCTGACCGGGAATTGAACCTGCAACCTTTTGTTGCATAAGACTACACTCCAAACCACTAAACCACACTGGCCAGGGCCTGTTTAATAACTTTTAATATCCTTGCTTGCTGGCACATCATATGCATTAGTTTTGGCTCAGTTTCAATTGATTGACTTGCTTCTTTAATACAGTCATGTTTTGCTGCTACTTTGCATGTCTACTAACACTTGATTGATGTCAGACATTGTGAATATTACTTTTTTAGGTGCTGGATACATTTGAATTCCTATAAACCATCTTAATATTTGTTGTGAGATAGTTCTTTCACTTGGAAACAGATCCTTTCAAGTCTTGCTTTTAAGATTT